AAGCTTTCCTCTGAAGAAACGAGTCCAACGGAGTAATTCAAACACTTAATACCTGTACATCCGCATGCCTTTGTTCTCTGCTTTTGTCGTCTCAAGTTCTTTCAGCTTACTCATTTATTCTTAGCTTCCCCCGTTTCGCTTGATCTAGAAACGGTCATTACGTGGAAGGCCATCTACATTAAAACGGAAAATATGACTGATAACCTTTTAATGTTTTCGAGCACTACGTCATTAAGTGCGACATGATTGGTTATTGAAGCATTTTAAAATAAAATTGATAAATAAATCCATAGATTTGTCAATTACATTCGTCCTATCAATTTTCTTACAATTTATTCTAGTTGAAGTTTTTCAATCTTACTGAAAGACAGAAGCATGACAGAATTGTGCAAGTGAAATGCACTAGAAAATCAAATCGAATCATCAAAATTATGAACAAAATCAAATGAAAAGACCTTTGTTTTGGAATATAAGTCTTGTTTGAAAAGCTCTTGAAGGAATATCGCTCAGTAGAACGCAGTAGAGAGGGAGGGAGGTTCCTATTTTGACTGGAAACAAAATGGAATGCTAAATAAGTTTTTGTGTAGGAAGAGTTAGTTCAGGGACGTTCAACTTGCAAGGCTTAAACCTTTTAATACGGTTATGGGCCATATTTTCATTTCTCGACCAATCCACCACACCTGACTTTCCCGATTTGGTAATTCCGGTAGTTTGCCCGGCCGCTCTCAGACGGGGTGGGGTGATAAAACCATGCGAGATATTACGTCGTTCCATGCATAACGCAGTGAAACTTAGGGATGAATGGGATTTGGGGATTTTGAAGTTCTGAATTGACAAGAAAAGTCTTTTAATCTAAACAAACAAGAGTAGTTGAATCCCCGTAGGGCGCGTGCGCTAGGCTCAGAATATTCTGTCGCTTGACATGGATGCAAGGTACTTTCACTTACGACTAAATAGCCTTTCGCGGGCCAGAATAATTCGCACCGGGGGCCGCCAGTTGGACAACCCTAAGTTACTTTCTTCTAAAATACCTAAAAAAATGTATTGTCTTGTGTACAGAATCTAGTAGTAACAATCGGAAGTGTGTAAAGATACACAGAAATACATGTATGGGCCGTTTCGGTGTCTAGAAAGATTTTTTTTTTTTTTCGCCATAAGTATTTGTAATTATGTTGGGCATATGTCCTACCGTACTACCATACGTACGCAAAACCTTCGAGATGTGTTGTCCAGGGTTTGTTGAATTTACAGTGATAGCGACATTTAGATAGTGAAATTGTTTTTAAAGATTTTTTGTAATTATGAATGAAATTAAGAATCTTCCAATAAATTATTTCCATTGATGTTAAAGGATTAAGGGTGTTTTCTGGATAACTTAATGTTATTCAGTATTTTTACAAAGATTCACTTGTATTTTATATTTGTATTTTTTTCACTTGGTACTAGAACATTTCGGGCGGATTTGAAATCACTAATGTATTAAATCGTTGCTGTATATTAGTGGTGTCAAGTCTGTGTCACCTGATCATTTCCAGTCAAAATATGTGGGTCGGGTAAAAATATATTCCCAGGCGCTTCTGCGCTTGTCTCCCGAACTAGTTGTGCCCCCCACGCGTGACGCGGTGCCGCCGCCGTCGCCCCCTCGGCCCGCCTCTGCGTTAACGCGGACGCGGGCCGCTCACCCAATATGGCCGGCCGCCGACGACTCGCGTGAGCCCTCGGACGCCTCCATGACGCCCGCGCGCTTCTCTGTGTTGCAGCTGGACCATGCCTACGACCAGATCATCCTGCCATTGGAGCGCTTCCGGAAAGAGCACATCGGTGGCGTCAAGGTGGGTACAGTTACGCCTGCCCGCCGGTACAGTTACCGCTGCTGCGCTGCGCCTCGTCGCGTGGCCCGCGCCCCGGCCGCCGAGCCTGAGCTGCGCAGGCGCGCGGACGCCGTGACCGCGTGCTCCCACCGAGGTCTTCTCGCAGCCACCAGGAAGCGCTAGTGCGTGGCTGTGGCCGCCGGTTTCCTACGAGCGCGCCGGTGGGCAGGTCGCGAAAATACTTGGGGCGGGCCGCTGTCACGTGATGGAGTTATTTGGTGTTTTCTGTCATTAACAGGCTATGGGTACAATCCAGAAAATAGTATTTAACGGCAAAATATTACCAATTTTTCATTGCCTAAATATCTAATGAAAACTAAGAATATGTAATAAAGTAATTTAATTCTAGTCTCTAAAAAACAAAAAGAAAAAATCTGACACTAGAACTTCATTAACTGCTTTTTCGTGGAAATTTTACAAGGGATTGAAAAGTAAATGCCAATTATCTCTCCCACACAAGGCTTTTTTGTGACGGTGAAGTATTTTTTTAAGATGTGGCATTTACGCTTTGAATTTAAGAAAATTCAATGTACCTGATACAGTCATAAGAAAAAAGTATTCGTACAATGGATAAGTGAACAAACAATTAAGTATTTTTTTTTTGTATTCCAGCACTGTAAAAGAACCTTTTCTGTTGCAAGAAATCCTTCATAATCGGGCATTTTACGGTACAAATGATGACGTATTAGATTTTGTCACGAATGATTGAGTCATCACACATTCAGCCAATCGTAGCGAGAGAATCGGAGGGAGGTAGAGCTCAACGGAATAGCCGACCACCGTTTACTCGCACAATGTCAAATACCCGAGTCGTCACAAGGAAGTTGTTTCGCAAAATTAAGTTTGATTCTTTTATAAATGTATAATGCTGTTATACAAAAAACAAAAAAAATATAGTATGCAACTCGGTTGTAATGTTGCTTTATTACATTCGTATAAATTTGAAAACTCGCAACTAAAGTCGCTCGTTTTCAAAACATGTGCTCATACAATAAAGCTTAACATTGTAAACTAATTGCATAAACCACTATTAGCTCATTACATTCATTTTCATAACATTAAAATTAAATCGTGTCTTTCGGGTACCATATAAAAATAAATACGCAAATAAAAGAACAAGTATGATAATACTATAAATTCTAATGTTCCAACCCGTGCAGCACTCATGTGGTCCCAAACCATCACACTACCACCATCATGTAGTTTTCTATTTTCTTTGGTTTCGGCTATAGCTATTCAGACTTGCCAAACAGTCTTGCCACCTACCATCTATTGTCGCTCAATTTTATTTTTTTATAAATTTTCTCAATTTTTAGGTTTCCTAATAGAATGAAAATATTATTTTAAGAACATTAAAGAACATTTAAATCTTGTAGCAATATTTTTTTGGAAAAAATGGAGCAGTTTTTAAGAAAATGGGGTTTAAGCACTAATGTAAATTCGAAAATTGAAAATATTTTCACAAAAAACTATAGAGTTTACAAAAAACTTCATATGTAGTCACTTCAAGCATTTAAAGTTATAAATGCAATAGTGTTTACAAATTTCTGGAAATATGCATATTAAAGGTGTGAGAGATATTTTGAAAAACACATTTGTGAATGATTTGAAAAAACAAACGAAAGTATATCCCAAAATGGCTGTACGTCATATTAAAGAGTGCAATAAGCAATATCCGTTTGAAAAGTGTGAAGGAAAAAAATGGAGTCATTTTTGAGAAAATGGCGTTTGAGAGTTTCTGAAAATGTACTTTCAACTCATTTTCACTGAATACTGTTGAGTTTTCGAGAAACTTCATCGACATTATTAAAAGCACATGTACTCATAAATGCATTAATCTGAACAAATCGACGTTAATGTAAATATTAGCGACGGGAGAGACAAAGTAAAAAAGTCATCTTATAGCACTATTTCTACCAAAAGTTTAAAGAAAAAAATTTGCAGCCGGTTTTACTACTAAAATCCCCCCCCCCAAGACATGACCTTAATTTTGACCTATGCCATATTTGTAAGTGTATTATACTCTAATCCTAAAGGAATTTAAAGAAAACATTTGGCTTTTTTTTCTTGCAAATTTTGAAATATTGTTACGGGTCGTCGTGTAAAGGACCCCCAAATTTTAAAGAAAGTTTTTTCAAAATCCCAATCTCGATCTGCCTCGAGTCGAAGCCTTTTTAGTTTTAGCCAGGGTTTAGTTAGAAGCCAGGGTTTTATTCGATTAAAAAAAAGGTGATTTAGGCGCTAGTGATGTTCACATACAGACGGACAGACGTTCTTTTTAAAACGTCCGTTTGTGAACACCCCTAGTGCCTAAACCACGCGTCGGATTTTTTCCAAATTGAAGAAATCCTTGTCCATGGTGCTCAAGTCGAAGCTTCGAGATTCTAGATTGTTGTCTACAATTAGTTCTTTAATTAAGGTCCTGAACATGTTTTGAAAATTTTAATAATTTTCGCGTAATATTACGAGTAGAATGTGCAATTTTAAAAATATACAAAACAAGATTTTCTCAAAGTCGGCTCCACATTTTTTCTTTAAACTTTTGATAGGGATAGTACTAAAAGCACTCTATAAGTTGACGTAAATGCCATATTCCTCTATTCTTTTGTTTTTCAAAAATTAAAAATTGTAATTTTTGTACTTGTCTCTCACGTTAATATTTATATTAGCGTCAATTTGTTCATATTATATTTATGAATACATGTGCTTTAAATAATGTCATGTACAGTTTCTCGAAAACTCCACCATTTTCTGTGAAAACTAGCTCAAAATTCTGCATTTTCGGAAACGCTTAACGTATTTTCTCAAAAATTTCTCCAAATATTTTTTCTTCAAACTTTTCTAACGGATTGTGCGTAGAATGCATAAAATATAGCGTAGAATGCGTGACAAAAATGCGTAAAATAAAAATACCAAAAGCTAATTATTAAAGAATATAAAACGAACGGCTAAACAAATAACTGCCTCACAGCGAGAATCGGAGAATTACATATAAAAGTTGTAAATACCGTCACAGAATTAATTTGAATCATAGAATTAAAGACAGGCGATGTTGCGGAAAAGTATTTCTATAATCGATCATTCTCCCATTTTGTCTCCAAAACTTATTATTCTTACATCTTTCTACAGGAAGGCAAAAAGAAGTTCGAGAAGCAGACTGCAAAGTTTTGTATGAGTCAAGAACGATACCTCAACCTATCTACCAAGAAACAAGATACGGTATTGAAAGAGGTAAGTGAGTGAACAGCGCTTCTAGTAGTGATCAGAAAGAAATAGTTATCTATCGCGATCATTGTTAGAAAATTATTTCATTTCGGTATTTTTTCCCATATATA